GATTGATGAAGAATTACAGGTAGATTACAGAAGAAATTACAGGTAAGTCAAGGACTGTAATTTACCTGTAATTGGTCGTTTAGCAACTCTTCAAAGTTACACCAGATCTCCCTGAGGGGACTTACGAACTGGATTCAAAGTTGTGACCCCCCCACCCTTGCACAGTCACATGTCCACACTTTGAGCACTTAGCAGCCAGACTGCATTTACGGCTGTTTGCAGCATTCTGCAATCACGTGACTATGTTTTATGATGTTTTTTGCTGAAACCCGGCATTTACTTCAGGCAAATCATTGCTTCACTTAAGGACAGCGGCAGTCATTTTTCATCTGTGGTGGTCACTTAACGACCACCACAAAAAATTGTAAAATTGGGTCAGTCATATGGATTTATGACCAAAATTTGTTATGACCAGGATGGGCAGGCTCCATTACAGTAGTCATAACTCGAAGATTACCTATATATCTTAGCTAGCAGAGAAAGCTGGTGATCCCTGGTGATCACATCTCACTAATACAAAATCCCAGGATATCTTGTAAACACAAAGCGTTCTAAAATCTTTACATCAGGTTGAATATGCAATTTTAATACTGTTTCAATCTATTGTTTTTTAGCATTACCGGTAGTATTAGATCCTCACATAATAGCACTTCAGGCAGCAAAACAATTATTTGTTTACAATCTATTGTTTACATCTACTTATTGTACCCTGCTTCAATATTTCTAATAATAAAAAGCAGTGTAGCATACAATTATGTAAAAGAAATAACAAATGTTACTTTTTGACATATTTCAGTATTTGCCACAGTATTTGAGTTTCAATGGAACATTTTGTTGACTTTTTAGCAATTGTTGTTGTCAATTCCAACCCTTCCATTTATAAGCTTGAATTGTTGGCAAGTCCTGTACCAAACTATATGATTGAAACAAAATCTCTTTTGTTGTAATATGAGGACCGAAGAATGTATGGTGAGGTTTCCATATGTGAAGCAATCACGAAGAAATAAAGGACAGATTATTTACTATTCATTTTTATTTGTATATATATAACTGCTTGCCCTTTTAGGATAATTGTCTCTCCACCTACGAAACAAGTTTCTAAGTTATTATATTTCAAGACACATCAAAATACATACAAAATTATAAACTTAATTTACAAAGATAACAATAAATACAACACACAGTTCCTACTCTGGGATTGTTAAAAACAACACAGATGTGAGATAAATGTTATGAATAAATGAAATACAAGTGAATTGAAGTTATAAAAGTAGTAGTAGATGTAAGATATATTCAAATGAACAAAATTAACTCAAACTCAAACAGGGATAGGCTTAAGAGAGATTTCGGTCTTTTCTATGGGGTAACAGAAATGAAACATATTTTTAAAAACCACAGTTGATTTTACTGCTGTGTTTACCCCAAAGGCAAATTAGTTCCATTCCCCCAAATGAATTTATTTAAATCGGGACAGCCATCACAAATGTGTAAATACAAAATGATATCTTTTTCAGTCTGTCTTTTGTAGGGTTCTTTAAATTTGAAGGACATCATCCTTTGAGTAAACAGGGTTGTCTGTATCTCTAGTATTCACTCATTTCTTTTCTTTTTTTATGTGTGGCAGGGATTTAACTTGTCCTCTTCTGCAAGGCAGTTGTTCTACCCCTGAGATTTGATCTTTTCCCCTCTTAATGCTAGCCCCAAGTCTGTCACTTGGGATATAGCATCTCAGATTGATAGGGGCAACCAGAAATATTTTCATTCCTGGGGGGGGGGGAATTGAAACAAGAAGAAACTTGAGGGAACTGGTTTGAAAGGTTTATCTAATTTCCCCGATACTAGATTAGCTTACAAAATTGGACTGCTTTCGGAAGAGGGGGTTGTGATGTTGTGAGGCTCTGTTTGCAACATCTGTCAAAAGAGTAGTAAGGCTATTCCCTGGGATACAGGTGCCAGCCACGTGTGCATTGTGTAAGGGAACTCAAAAATACAAAAAAAAACCTGCTGTGGAGTGTGACAAAAAGGAACAACCTGATGGAATTTGAAACTCTTCCCATTTCCGCAGCCAAACAGCCGACAGGGACTATAAAGATTCTAGTTCTGTTTTCTTTTGCTTCTTTTTTTATCATTGGGATTTGAGATAGAAGATAAGGGGTCTGTGAGACTATGGATCTCTAGCCATGTCCAATTCAGGGCAAAACTTGAGTGATCTCTTACTGGGAGACTGAGTCTCCCAATGTCGTTAATTTTATTTCAAAACACCCAACAGTCTTTTTTTTTAATTGATAAAGAGACTCTTAGGATGTGTTCTCCCTCCCCAGCGGGGGAAGCAAGAACTGCGAAGGTTCTGTCACTCTCAACTTAACACTGGAAATGCAGGAATATTTCTTAGAACAGTGCATCAAAATAGGAGCCCTCTTTCAGGAGTCAGGAGCCTTTGGAAGCAATGGGATCCATTGCATAATAAAAGAATAACAGAGTTGGAAGGGACCTTGGAGGTCTTGTAGTCCAACCCCCTGGTCAAGCAGGAAGCTCTACACCATTTCAGATAAATGGTTGTCCAATCTTTTCTTAAAAACCTCCAATGTTGGAGCACCCACAACCTCTAAAGGAAGCCGGGTTAATTGTTCTAACAATTTCTCCTTAGTTCTAGGCTGCTTCTCTCCTTGATTAGTTTCCATCCATTGCTTCTTGTCCTGCCTTCAGGTGCTTTGGAGAATAGGTTGACCCCCCCTCTTGTTTGTTGCAGCCCCTTAGATATTGGAACACTATATATATAGTATATATATAGGAGGCAATTTTTTTTTAGCAATATAGGTGTCTGAAGATGGTGGCTTACTTTATAGAATATTAACTTTCTGCTCACTTTTTAAATTAAAATAATCTAAAATATAAAATTACACGAAAGCCAAAATAAAAATAAAACATTTAAAAACTGGGGATTTAAAAAAAATAATATCTAATAAAACAACCTTGCAAAACAGAAGTGCGTCTTGGGCATCATACAAAGAAAAAAAACAATGTTTCTCAGAATAACAATAAAATGGTAATTGGAAACTTATCTTATCTAGCTTGTCAGTTGGAGCTGTACTCATGTTGGTCCTTAATGGTGTCCACGTGTTCACCATTTCCCCTTGCCAGCATACTAGGACAAGAACTCCCACGTTCCTAGCAATGAAATAGCTTATGCTATCAGGGACACTTTTTCCTCCCTAGCAGATTTTCTTTACAGAGAGAAAAGATGGAAGAAATGGTGGAAAAGGGGAATTGGAAGAAGTTTCATTTCTAAGAAAAGGTGGTGCAACCCCTCCCCCACACACACACTTTTAATATCATGCTTGAAACATTTTTGGAATATTACTGAAGTTTCTCACCAATAAGGATAAATTTGTGACTGGAAAAATCCACTATCCATTCTCAGACTGGGGTGGAATTAAATAGTCCTCTAACATGGAACCAAAAACTGAGGTAATTTTCATTTTGCTGTAATGGCGGATAAGGCAGAGGTAAACCAATTATAGAATTTCAGGCAGATAGACTTGGAGATGGGCGTGCAAATGCATCGGAGACCATGGTTTTTGAGGAATAGATACTGGCTTCCAATCCCTTACAGGCAGTCCTCGACTTACAGCCACAACTGGGAGCAGAATTTCCATTGCTAAGCAAGGCAGTTGTTAAGTGAGACATGCACTTTCCCCCACAGTTGTTGTGAATCACTGCAGTTGGTCAATCGAATCTGGCTTGCCCAGTTAACTTTGCTTGCGGAAAGCCAGCTGGGAAAGTTGCAAATGTCAATCAAATGACCTGGAATGCTGCAACCATTATAATTACATGTCAGTTGCCTAATGCCTGAAATTTGACCACAGGAATCTGCAATGGTCATAAGTGGAAGGATCAGCTGTAAGTCACTTTTTCCAGCAAACACATTTATTGCTAAATAAATGATTATAATTCGAGCACTACCAGGACTGCTGATTACTGCTATCTCAGAAACCTTTTACCTCAAATACCGTGTTTTCCCGAAAATAAGAGCCAACCAGAAAATAAGCCTCAGCATGATTTTCAGGACGCTCGTAATATAAGCCCCACTCCAAAAATAAGCCCAGGTTAAGATCATCAGACAGACATTTAGTACCGTATTTTCCCCAAAATAAGACCTAGCCAGAAAATAAGCCCTAATTCATCTTTTGGAGCAAAAATTAATATAAGACCTGGTCTTATTTTCAGGGAAACATGGTAGCCTGGAAGATTGTGTTTGAAAAAGGATGGGAACCCCCCCCCCCAATAAATCTCCCTCTCTCCTACCTCCATAGCCTTAAGCAATTCCTTCTTTATCTCCCCTGTACCAGCTACAGCTTAATCAACCAACAGTGGACAATTAACCGGTAGAACAGCTTGCCTTCAGAAGCTTCATCACTGGAGGCTTTTAAGAAAAGATTGGACAGCCACTTATCTGAAATGGTATAGGGCAGGGGTAGGCAACCTTGGCTCTTTTATGACCTCGTGGACTTCAACTCCCAGAATCCCTGAGCCAGCATGGCTTGCTCAGGAATTCTGGGAGTTGAAGTCCACGAGTCATAAAATAGCCAAGGTTGCCTACCCCTGGTATAGGGTCTCCTGCTTGAACAGAGGGTTGGACTAGAAGACCTCCAAGGTCCCCTCCATGTCTATTCTGATTGAGTGTTTGAAAAAGCAGCACACTTGTTGTCAGATCGAAACTGGCCTTGACGGAGGCCAGCCTAACAATCATACAAAAGAAACAGGACCATGAGTAATTGAGTTCAAAGTTAAGGGCAGACTTGTTTTCTATTTACTCAAGCTGCTACCGTGCTATAACAACTTTTGAGGACTTTACAAATATCAAATACAATCTTCAAAAATTACTCAAACAAACTCCATATACATTTGGAGAGACAGGACCCTTTTGTTACGAAGTAGTGAATTACTGAATAGTGAGCTAAGTCATAGATGATCATCTTAGATACACTGATTGGCAGGTGCATAGCTTCAAAATTTATTTTATAAGCAACTTTATACATACTAAAATATAGTTGTCTATGTTCAAATAAATGTGACAGCGATAGATTTGCTTTTCTTCTGTGACTTCCATCAAAGGAGATTCAGTTTTTCAGAATGACTACCCTAGAAAGGAGAAAGTATCAAAATGGAGATTCATAAGTATTACATTTGTGGAGCAGTTGCAACCACAAAATTGCTCCAGGGCCTTGTGTTAAACAAATAAATATGATTTCATCATGAGTGGAATGAATCAAGTAATTCTTCCTAAATGGAAGGTGGGATTCTACTTAAGTTATCATAGACATTCCTACTCAAACAGAGTCTTTTCCATTAAGGACAGAATACAGTATTAATGAAATATAGGTAATTAGGGCCCCAACGACATGAATTTTTGGTAAATAATAAAAAAAATGAAGTGGCTTCCTTCACAAATCTGAGAAATTTGAACATGCTTGTGCAATGTGGAATTCTCCAAATTGAAAACGCATTTTAAAATGTGATGCAATGAAGAACACTAAGCAACTCTAAACATTTTATTCCTAGATATGTCAGTTAAATTGTTCAATTAAAAGTGGGAAGAGTAGTTCCAAAGGTATTTTCTTTCAAAGGGCAACTGGACTTTAAGATGTTTTGCTTCTCATCCAAGAAACTTCTTCAGTTCTGACTGAATGGTGGAGAATGGAAGGATTTATATTCCTTGCAGTCATATGGTCATTAGCTCTCTTTCTGACAGTAGGTTGAGATCACTTGGAGGTTTACCTGTGTCCTCAGGGTCACCTGAATCCTGTAGTTTGCCATTTTTTTTTCTGGAAATGCTTTCATACTCCTGCACAATTTGAAAGGTGTTCATCCCAAAGAGCATAGCTAAACGTCTATGGAGATTCTCAATTGTCCAGGTCTTGGCGTCTCAAGGGTGTTTTCTTTCAAATGGCAACCGGACTTTCTTCAAGCAAAACAAGAAAGTCCAGTTGCCTTTTTGAAAGGAAACACTTTGGAGACACCATGACCTGGATGACTGAGACATTGGGAAATAGACATTGGGAAAAGTAGTGTTCATATATCAGCTCAATCTTGAATGGCTTGATCAGCCGGATCAGCTACATCAACCCTGGATATCAATGGGGTGACAGATGTTGCAATCAGGATTTGCCTAACATCTTATAGGACAGGGTCATGACATATCGGCAATGGGATGGGCGTGGTTTTGCTATGACGCATCCGGCCCGTGGGCCAATAGTTTGACACCCCTGTTATAGGACATTTCTGTGTGCTATAATGATCATCCATTAGCAAAGTTCACACATGAACTGGCTTCTAGTAATCAAGAACTAAAACTTCAAAAGATATCCATCTCTGACCTAAAAGTTCAAAAAGAAATATATCCCCAATCCACAGAAGACAATTTAAAACTAGCCATGAATCTTGACAGCTGCTTTATATCTTCGGTTTAGAAAGCATTCAGAAGAATCAGTATGATATAACTGGGTAACGTGGATTAAACAGCCTTTCTGTTCCAGCTAATCCATCTTGAAAAATTATTCAGAATTATTAAAATTATTAAAAGAGCTGTAGTCCAGTGGGTTGGTAATATAAGGTGAAACCCAGTTGTGAATATAGGCTGGAGGCCTAACTAAAAAAAAATCATTGTGAATATACTATAAGTTGAAAAACTATCTTTGGTATGTTGAACTTCTGAATGCTGTTTTTGTGATTCAAAATTGCAGGTAATTATTAGAAGTAGACGTTGCAGGGGGAAAGATGTATTAAGCCAAAAACCAGAAGCAATATTATAATTTTTAGATTAATATTTTTTTTAAAAAAATGCACTTTCCTGAGTTATAGAGAAATAGGGTTCCCCCCAATCTCTTGGTTAGAGACAGTACCTCTCATCCATCTATCTATCTATCTATCTATCTATCTATCTATCTATCTATCTATCTATCTATCTATCTATCTATCTATCTATCTATCTATCAACTATCTAACTAACTAACTAACTAACTAACTATCTAATTTATCTATTTAGTGTATGGCATAGAGTACATAGATAACAGTAGTAAAATATATATAAAAGGAGTACATGATACTATGGTACACGTCTAATGGAAATTTCCTGCCTAAGCAGGGGGTTGGACTAGAAGACTTCCAAGGTCCATTCCAACTCTGTTATTCTATATTATTCTATGAAATATGCAGTCAATTTTGTAAGGTATGAGCAATTCAAGAAGTGAACCAATATATTTAATAATGTAACTTGTAACTTATATTTAGGTTACATTTTGAAATACATTGGTTCATAAAAATAGAATGTATTCTATATATTAACAACTAGACCAGTAATGGCGAACCTTTTAGAGACCGAGTGCCCAAACTGCAACCCAAAATCCACTTATGTATCATCGGGTGCCGGGTGGGCATGGCCCATTGGGTGGGTGTGGCCCATTGGCTGGGCGTGGCTGCGGTGGTAACGGCAGACTGGGTGGGACTAAAAAGTTCAATCAATCAATTCCAACTCTGCAAGATTTTTTTTTCCCCGCGAGAAGTTGAAATTGACTAATTGATTGAACCTTTTTTTTTTTTTGCACACGGCGGCGGAGGCCTAAAGCGAAAAGGTTTTATGAAACCCAGCTGAAGGCCTAGGACTGGGGTGACGGCACGCGTGCCCCCAGAGAGGGCTCTGAGTGCCGCCTCTGGCACCCGTGCCATAGGTTCGCCACCACTGAACTAGACCATTTATTCAATTAAGCACAGTATTTGTTAGTTGGAGAAAATCTGCTTTTCCTCCTGTATAAACTCTCAAATAGCAGCTAGTTATTATATGATCCAATGCCTGGTGAGCTCTCTTTGATGTACAGTAAATGGAAGCGAGCAATGAATGTAATGAATGTTAGCAATCACTGTCATTCTGTTGTTTAAAATGCACACTTTTGGTTTGGGGGAGCAGGAAAGAAAGGAGATACTACATTCTTACTTCTTATGACTGCATGCCTGGAGTAATAAGGTTGAGAAAGGAAGCAGCTTTGATTCTGTGACGCTGGGTTGAAGCTTCCCACAGGAAAATTTCTTTTCAAGCTCCAAATTCTTTCCAGAGCCACTGTCCATAATATATAGAAGAGCATTATTATAATTGTATTGTTTTGCAACCACAATTGAGTCCTGGGATTTAATCAAAAGCAATCGCTAAGTAGAACGTCACAATTTTATTATCTTACTTCAGCCTTTTTTTGCTTTACAGACCCATAAACAAGGATTGCTTTGAAGTTTATTGAAACACTGTGTGGTTAAAAAAGAAAAGCTGAAATGCCCCACTTAGGATCTATATAACGTTTCATCTGCTCAGGGGCAGGAAGTGGTCCATGGAAGTGTACATGTAGTCCTTATGACCGCAGTTGGGATTGGAAATCCAGTCATAAATTGTTACGGTTGTAAACTGAGGCTCCCACATGACCAGAAGTGATTTTATGACCTTTTTGGCAACAGTTGTTAAGCCAACATGATAGTGATTAAGTGAACATGGTGGTTATAAATGCAAATCCATTCCTTTGAATAGTAGGCATTTCTTGCTGGAAACCAGCAAAAAATGTCACACCCCGCAGTCGCGTAACCACAGAACACCACAACTGGTCATAAAGGTGACCGGTTGCCAAGCGCCCAACGTGATCACGTGATGATGGGGGAGGGCTCACGACTATTTACGATGGTTGGGGGATGCTTTATGGGTCTTAAATTCACCAAGTCTTGCTTTGGATTAATTATCACCTCATAGACCAGCTCCAACTCCAAGAGAACAGATTACACAAATACAGTAGCAAATCTACTTTCCGTGTGATTTCATATATCTCCTGAAGCAGACCTATTTTTAAAATTGAACTTTCTTCATATTCCCAACACTTTCTGTTCTTCGAAGGGAGACTTGCCCCATCAGTACCATCAAATTATTCCAAAGGGCTTTGAAAAGATAACTAAATACCTGTGGTTTTGCTTCTGGCTGTTTTTGCTGTTACTATTTAATTTCTTTTGTACCAGTGTTTGGAGTAGATGTTATATTTTTGCAAATTGCTGGACATCACTAAGGCAGGTTAGTATACGGATGAAATCTTCCCTTTATAAGCACTTCAGAATTTGAAATTCCCCCCAGTTACCTTGTTTTGCAACGCTTACCTTCTGAAGGGTGTCTAATTCTGCACTCATCTCTCTGGAAATACAGCTCTTCCTCAAGTACTTCCCTAACTCTCCTTGGTGGTTCAACATACACAAACTTCTTCCCTGTTTTAGAAAAGATCATTTCAGTGAATGAACTGAGGAATTCGCAAATAGTATGCTTGCTTTATCAAAATAGAGTATTAAATCAAACCATATTCTAGTATTTTACTAAATATTCTAAACATCTTATGGCGACAAGACATAATATTTAAGAAAAGTGACCTGAATAATAATCATGCTTTATTTCCTCTTGGAGGAATTTATAAAAACCAAGTTAAGGCATTAAGAATAGGAAATGGCAAAAAAGTTAAGCAAAGCTTCTATTCCTATGGCAGAGCAATTATTTGTTGTTGTTAGTTGCGAAGTCGTGTCCGACCCATCGCGCCCCATGGACAATGTTCTTCCAGGTCTTCCTGTCCTCTACCATCTTCTGGAGTCAATTTAAGCTCACTCCTACTGCTTCAGTGACTCCATCCAGCCACCCCGTTCTCTGTCGTCCCCTTCTTCTCTTGCCCTCAATCTTTCCCAGCATTAGGCTCTTCTCCAGTGAGTCCTTCCTTCTCATTAGGTGGCCAAAGTATTTGAGTTTCAGCTTCAGGATCTGGCCTTCTAAAGAGCAGTCGGGGTTGATCTCTTCTAGGACTGACCGGTTTGATCACCTTGCAGTCCAGGGGACTCGCAGGAGTCTTCTCCAGCACTATAGTTCAAAGGCCTCAATTATTTTGCGCTCAGCCTTTCTTATGGTCCAACTTTCACAGCCATACATTTATCAGACCTAATACCGTAATCCATGGAAAGAGGTCTTTGAGACTGACATGAGCTGGGAAAGAAGCAGAAATATCCCAATATATTGTTAACAAGTATTCCAAGTCCATTAGAAAAGAATGATTAACTCTTCAGTCTTGCATTCTGGAAAAAAACAGCTCTCCGAGACTTTTAGAGAATTCACTAATAATTGCTGCAATTGGGGCTTATTCAGTTTCTATGATTCTGTGTATTAATCCCTTAATAATAATCCTAGTTAGTGAGACTCATCATGAACGGTGCAGAGCAGAGCAGAAAGGAATTGGATATCAGACTGAATAACCTTTATTAAACCTTAGTAAGACCACATTTGGAATACTGCATCGAGTTTTGATCACCTCATTATAAAAAAGGTATTGAGACTCTGGAAAGAGTGCAAAGAAGAACTAAGATAATTAAGGGCCTGGAGACTAAAACATATGAAGAACGGTTGCAAGATTTGGGCATGGCTAGTCTAGAGAAAAAAAGGACTAGGGGTGACATGATAGCAGTGTTCCAATATTTGAGGGGCTGCCACAAAGAAGAGGGAGTCAGTCTATTTTCCAAAGCACCAGAAGGCAAGATAAGAAACAATGCATGGAAACTAATCAAGGAGAGAAGCAGCCTAGAACTAAGGAGAAATTTCCTGACAGTGAGAACAATTAACCAGTGGAACACCTTGCCTTCAGAAGTTGTGGGTTTACACTTGTCTGAAATGGTACATAGGGTTTCCTGCTTGAGCAGGGGGTTGGAATAGAAGACCTCCAAGGTCCCTTCCAACTCTATTATTCTGTATTCTGTATACTTCTCAAACCAGGGCATTGTTCTGAGATCCTGGGCTTCAACTTCCATATTGGAGGAGACCAAGTGTTGGATGATCTTTATTTATCTCTGTACAAGAGAGAGAACAAACCAGACCTGTTCATTTCAATGGTAACGAGGATCTCACCAGCCAGAAGCCAGGAGACTGTGAGTTCTTAGGCATGAAAGCCTGCTGGTGACTTTGTCCAGTCCAATTTTGTCAGATCAACCCACCTCCACAGGGTCATTATTGTGGGGAAAATAGTAGAAAGGAATATTTTATTTTACTATGCTGCCCATCTCACCTACAAGCTGACAAGCTGACTCTGGGCAGCTTGTGTGTCTTCGCCACCTTGAGTTATTTATAAAAATAAGGCATGATATCATTCCTCAATAATAATTTGGCAGATCTCAAAAAGCTTGGAACAACAGAACTCCTTAATATTTGGAAATCTGAAGGCTGTGGATTCGGTTGGGAAATTGAAAACAACAACAACAACATCCGAGTATAAGTGAATGGGCAAACTGCTTCTGTACTGTTGCCAAGACAACGACAGGGACATGCCCATGATGTCACCAGCAGTCCCCTTTTAAAGAAGCCAGAGGGAATTCTTGCACAGACACGTTGGGTGCAAGGAGGCAACTGATCCACAGCAGGATGGCATGCAGGTCCTTCCGTCACAGTCTGCATCCATCACTGAATTCTGCAAACTGTTCTCCCAACAGTTTCTCCCCAACAGGGGCTTTCTCAGCCCACAGAGAGAAGCCTTCCCCCATTTAGTTTCCACCCACCCTGGGTTGCCCATTTATTTCCAATTGCTGGGGCTGAAGCCCCCCCCACCCCCCCCCCCCAAAAACCTGGAGATCTTCTCCTTGGATAAAAGCAGCATGGAAGGAAGAAGAGTCCCGCTCCGCCAGGCGTGGAGAGGCTCCCCGGCTGCAGGGGGACCTTCCACCCGGGGCGCGCGCGAGCCCCCCACTCACAGGGTTGCCCCCCATCGTTGCTCTCGCCGTAGATCCGGCTGCCCGAGTCCCCCGCCTTGGGCTCCAGCGGTTCCCCGGTCGACGCTCGCATGTCTCGTCCGCGGCGGCTGCTCCTGCTTGCTCCTGCCAGCCGCGCCCAGGCCAGCGGCACGCGCAGGCTGGTTGCCATAGGAGCCCAAGGTGGCTGCTGCTGCTGCGGCGGCGGCGGCTGTTGCTGCTGAAGGGGGAGTGGCGGAGGAGGAAGAGGAGGAGGGAGGAGGAGGAGAAGATGAAGCCGGTGCTTTCGCCTGCACACCCGGCAGAGCGGTGGGGCTGGAAGCTGGGCGGAGCTAAGAGGGAAGCGCCCTGGCCCCGGGTCAGAGAAGAGCCGAGTCCGGCGGCCTCGAGCGGGGGCGATCACAGGTTGCCCTTGGCAACGCAGGCCACGCCCGAAGCCCACCTGGTTGCTGACCCGAAGTCTTCCCCAACCTGTCGCCCTCTAATTATTGGGATTAACACCTCCCCCTCCCCTCCCCCCAGCAGCCTCTAGCAAGCCAGGGTGGGCAAAAACCATGCTGGCTGAAAGATAGATGACCTTCAAGGTCCCTTCCAACTTTACTACTACTACTACTACTACTACTACTACTACTACTACTACTACTACTACTACTACTACTACCACTACTATTATTATATTATTATTATTATTGTTGTTGTTGTTGTTGTTGTAGGTAGCAAAGCCCAATATGGCCACTTTGGAACAGGGTCATCTTTGGGTCTGCAGGTGGTTTTCAAGTTACTGGTTGGAGGAGCTAACTGCGAAGTTGCGTTGATAATCGCCAAGATCTCTTCATCAAGCAAAGCTGGTTGGGTCCCCAGGAAGTGTCTTTGGAGGTCTTAAGTCAGGTCTGCCTGAGGTTTATTTTGGGCGATATTAGAATAGTGTGCAGACACAAACATTTTGTTCTGCCAGGCTGTGACAAAGGAAGTATCACCTGCAGAATATGGATGAGAATATTAGGGAGCTAACTATGCTTGAAGGGAAAGCATTTGGTCACAGGCCAATGAAGTAAAAAAGTATTCCGGGAAGAATGAGCCAATGAGTTAGAAAGCAAGCTATGTTTCTGGTCCAGACAACGTGCAGTGAAAGTCAGCCAGGAAGTGCCATCAAAAGAAGAGGCGTTACAATCATACCTTTGTGCTTGAATCTTCTTAGATAGAAAAAGATCTCTACAAAATGATCAAAAATTATTTCAAATGATACTATTCAGACATTCCAGATGCTGGGAATGTGACTGTACCTACGTCTATTTCAGAAAAATATACATTGATAAAGGTGCTTGATAAAGATCCAATGATGTTTTACTACTAGGGACAGCAGATGGTATTTGTTTATTTGTGAAATTTATTTGCTGCCTATCTCACCATGCGGCTACTCTAGGCAGCTTATAATAATAAGGAATGAAGCGTGAAAACGAGAAGTAAAACAATAGAATAAAACAAACAACGTAAAAGAAAATGAAAATACATCAATATAATAAC